TTCCTGAGCTCATTCCAGGCTAGAAATCCCATAGATGTTTTTGCTCTGCCTAGTTGGTTCTTCTTCAGTTCTTTCCCTGATCAGAACCAGATATCCTTCAGGCTTCAACTGATTTTCTGCGTCTACACAGAAATCTCCTTCACTCCCACCATTATTTTTTTCCATTTAAAGAAATTCCTTGTGTTCATGATGAATGTTAGTAATTTTATTTTCTTTTTTTGGCCCAATGCTTAAATTTAATACTATTGTCTTTCCTTCAGAAATAAGAATGCAAACCCTATGGTGGACACTTTGGTACACAGAAAGGGAGGTCAGTGTGGGCAAAATGGAACTGGGAAAGGAGGTTAGGGATGGAACTCAGTATTAGATCCAGTATGCTGGAGGCCCTGGGTTAAGTCTCCAGCATCAGACTGCGCAGGGGAGGACAGAGAGATTAATTCCACTTTCTCACTTTCTCTCACAGTGATTCAATTATATGAGACACTTCCTCATTCACTGTTTTCTTCTTAAAAAATTGTTTGAAGTATTGATGGTACTTCAGCACTTATCCCAGGCCCACTCTTTCTCAAAGTATATTGAAAACTCACAAACACCTTTGCAAGTATTTATTTGTTCCACAAGCACATTTTTAAATTAACTTTATTAGGGTCTAAATGTAGTTCCTATGCTTTCTGGTGGTCTCTAACTTCTATTTCTCTTAGGATTAGCTAAAAAGTTACTTTCAAATTTTTATATTAGTTTTTCTGAATATGTTATATGAAGAAGTCCATCTCTTGTTAAAATTTCCCATGTCTCCACACTGCCATGCACAATCACACATTTCTCATCTGTCTTTATCTTAGTAACATCTGGCACCACTGGCCATTCGGTAAAAAAACTCCTGTCTTGTGTTCATGATGAAAGTGTCACCTGATGACTATCCTATCACTTTATGTTTCCTGTTACAAGATCCCTCAATGTCAAATCAAACCATAGATCAGTTCTACGATATAGATCTCACTCTCCCTAGCTCTTTCCAGTTGTCTTGAAGACTTCGGGTTTAGCTATGTGTTGGCTTATGATTCCCAGCTGTTGTAGATCTACAGAGGAAAGCCTAACTGGCTGTTTCTACCCAGAAGCCTGAAAAATACCTCAGACAGTTGATAACAGGGCCTTCACCTCCCTCTTAAATCTTTTCTTTATCCATCACTACAGTTGTCATCTACCTAAGCTGTTCTTTATGCATTCTGATGCTCATTTTCAATCTTTCTTTCTGTGATCCTTACTATTTAACTGGTTTATTAGTAAGTCCAATCAGCTCCACTTTTAAATACTTTTTGAATGGATCTGCTTTTATCAGAGACTGCAGTTCCAATGTTCATCTATATTTCTGCCATGTCTCGTCAATTAGAGT